AAATAAAAGACACTGAAAAAGAAATAAAAAAAAATATAACAGAAAACACTCGACAAAAATTGTTCTGAAATAAGTTGGGAAAGGATATGGAGGTAGAATACACTCTACATACTTTAGCATTTGTTGCGCTTCAAGTGACATGCTTTTTGTTTAATTTCAATTGGAACCTCCATTGAACAATTTAAAGAATTTGATGGAGAAATTTTAAGATTTATGAACATGAAATCAGCTTTAACCAGAAATGTGGGGTATGCTTTTCTTTTTCCTTTAAAAATTGCGTTCTAATTATAGTTAATGTGGTGGTGTGGGTGTATACTCTTTTATTCTTTTGAAAAAAAAAATACTATTTCTCTTTATAGTTAATATAGGAGTGTATTAATGGTTTTTTTTTTAATTTCAATACAAGTTAAATTTATAATAACTATAAATTAAGAATTAGTGGAGGTATTAATGAATTTTTAGGATCCAAATATTAAGAGAAAATTACAGATTATGTCTTCTTAATTACCTGACTTACTAAAAGTACTCTTTTTGAAAAATTCTACTACTTGACTGGTTCTAGAATAAAAGGTAAAAATATATAGATTAATGTTAAAAGGTAGAAATAAAAAGATTTCGGAGGTATTTTTAAAACTTTTCCAAGTATTAATTACTCTATGCAATTTTGTAAAGCTCAATTTTCAGGACCCAATTCAATAGGGTAATCTTGACAAATACTCTTTAAAAGTGCATGCGTCAGGATTTTTACTCTTTACTCTTGATTCATAACCTTTTTTATCAAAAAATTACACTAACAAAAGAGTATTTATTAAGAATAAAAAATAAATATCCAGACGTATGCACTCTCCAGAATAAATTATCTATTTTTTCAATTCAGTAACTCACTACTATTAGACAAGCCCAAAAAGAGAAAAAAATATCTTGTGTTAATACGGACAAATTTCACTTCCATGCAAATCCGTGGTCCTGCTCAATTTGGAAGTCATCTTTTACTCCAATCTCATGCTTCAAGAGTCAATATCTCACCAGCCGACCAGCCTTCCCTTTCAGCGGAATGATCAGCGCATCGTCAAACGGGCAGAGGAATGAAGCCACTGATATCCTTGGCTTGTCAGCATTCACAATGGCCCGGTGCCACACACTCTTGTAAATCCCATTACTCAGTGCCTGCAATCATACAAATTGTCATAAATCCCAACATTTGCTCTGCATTTCTTATTGGTTTACAATTAGCCCTTTTGCTAAATAGTGATTTGTGTATCACATCATATATCAAGATTGGCGTAGTTTCTTGTTGTCCTAAATCTAATTTCAGTACTGGGTTATTCATTCTGTGTTTGTATCCAAGTGATACTTTCCACTGTGTCCACTATCCCTTGACTCTGATAAACTTGGTTATTTGCATTAAAAGTATGCTAAATTACACAATTCCAGTGGACTCGTAAAATCTACCCAAACACTGTTCTTTTGACAAGTTAGCATAACCTGCTTTACCAACCGAAATTTTGAAAGAAAAATATCCCTAATTTCTTCTGATCTTACCAAAATCCACAGAGAGCTTCTTCATCCCAAGCCCTAACCCCAAAACGACACGCTTCCCTTCAAATCCGAGAGTTACGCATTCGGTAGTCTCCTCTTTGTTCTTCTTCTTCTGCTTCTTCTTCTTCTTCTTCTTCTTCTTCTCCACCATCTCCTCCTCGGCTTCTTCGATTTCAGGAAGAGGCATTGGATGAGGAAGTGGAGGTATAGTTGAAGGCACAATTTTTCTCCGTTTGCGTTTTGGTGGAGCAGCCTATAATATATATATAATAGATACATACAAGAATATTAGAGAACAGTATGATATCTACTAACCACATTCTTCTGTGCTGCATTGACAAGAGAGTTTGGGCGAGAAACTCGATTCTCAGTCCCAATAAACACAACAAATTCAGGTGGTGAGGTCTGAAATATAAAATACAATATTAGAAATGCAAAGAATAAAGGTGAAGAAACAATTAAAATGAAGTAGAAAAAACAGAGAATGAATGAAAACTCACCGATGATTTTGGCTTAGCCAATGCATTTTCAGGCACAGTAGTGACAGTCCCAGTTACTCTCTGAAATTGCAAAGACAACGTTGAGAAGAAGTGAAAAGGAAAATCTGAAATTAGCTTGAAGAAATGCAAAAACGAAATGAAGAAACGCAGAAACACAATAATGCGAAGAAACGCAGACCCAGTTTACTCAATAACTTCTTCGCCTCATAATGCGATGTATGTAACTTATTCCCTTCAGGAAGTGCATCTCTCAGTAGCTTCAACATTTCATCCATGCATTCATTAGGCCACTTGTACAACACTTTTAGATGCATTAGTTTAACTAAAAAATTCAACGATGAATACTTAGTGCAACCCGGATACAATCCGACTTGGAGCTCGGATAAGAGATCTCTAAATTCATCGTAATGCGTATCTTCTATAACTGTTTATGTCTCACCCGTTGTTTCATGATCATCACTAATCCTAACCACATCATTTAGCACGGGTTCACTGATAACTACTGCAGCAGCAAACGTACTTCACCATGGTGAATCCATGTGGTGTAACTTGTATCAAAACCCCATCGATGTATGTGCGCTTTCACTGTTTCGGGTGAAAACATCTCATGATTTCTACACTTGATACACGGACAGCTAATACCCCCGAGTGAATTTACATAATTCTTTCCAACCTTAATAAAAGAACACAAACCATCACAGTACTCATCAAACAACCGGTTCCTTAAATGTATCAAACTCTTGTCTATAAGCATCTCCACTACGAAGAATTTATAAAGTTTTATCAAATTTTATGAAAATTAACACAAATTATTTTCTAATAAGTATTTAACATTAGTTTATTTAATTATTTTATTACTAATATAATCCTAATTAAAATTTTATCTAATTTTTTTATTATCACATAATCGTCATTAAACAAATTTCATACAAATTTTATTCTAATTATCACATATTTCAGTTTCAATTCTAATTTAAAATTCACAATTATAAATTCAAAACCACAAACTATATCCAAAATCTAAAATAAAATCATAAACCATAACAAAAATACCAAAATCCATTAACAAAATACTAAAATATTAACTCACAAAATCTAAACCCATAAATACCGGGGGTTGGAGAACGGTAAGGTAGTAGGGA